CCGGGCGCCGGCCGGGCGCACAGCTCCAGCACCAGGCAACCGGCCAGGGCGCGGGCCTCAGGCCGCAGGTCCAGCCCGAGGCGGAGGTGGCGGAGGCGGAAGAGCGCGGCGCTGGAGGCCGAGGCCACGTCCGGGAGCGTCTCGGGGGCCGCCATGGGGCCTAGGTGAAATCCATGGGCGGGCGCGGGAGGCCCGGCGGCGGCCGACGACTCACCCAGGCCGCCCGGGAAGCCGCTCGCCGGCGCCAGGAAGAGGCGAGGCCCAGCCGGCCTCTGCCCCGAGCGGGGCGCGCTGCGTGCGGCTGCCGGAGGAGGAGAAGGAGGCGGCGGCGGCGGCGCTGGGCGGCGCCCGAGAGCGGCCTTCGGACGCGCGTCCTGCCTTGGACGGCCGTTGGACGGGCAGCCTCGAGCTTGGGCCGAGCCCGGGGCTTTATTGGTCCCTGCGGCGGAGTTCAGCCCTCGGGACGCCCAGAGACAAGAGGGAAGGCCCGGCGCTTGGGAGCGCATGGGGCTTGGGAGGCAGGAGGGATCGATCCCCTCCTTGGATCTGGCCGAAGGATCTCCCGGGGGGGATCGAGTGGTCCCGCAGAAGGTGAGCAGGGTGGGAAGGAGACTTTTCTTTCAGCAGGGATCGACTGGTTTGCCAGTAGGAGTTGGAAGGCAACCGATTTAACAAGAGTTGGAAGGGGCCTCGGAGGTCATCTAGTCCAACCCCCTGCCCAAGCAGGGGACTCTACACCTGCCTCTACCTAGGATCGAACTCACAACCTCCTGATTGTGGGGCAAGGTCTTCCAACCCCCTCTTCTAGTCCTGCTCAGGCAGGAGACCCTTGTGCATGTAGTCCTCGACGTACAACAGTTTGCTTAGTGGGGAAATGGGGAAACCAGATTCACTTTACAACCGTGTTACACTACGGCTGCAATGATTCACTTAACAAACGTGTTGAGAAAAGTCGTAAAACGGGGTTTTGATGTCTCGGCAACATCAATTTTGGGCTCAGTTTTTGTCGTTAGTTGAGGATTACCTGTACCATCTCAGGCTTGGCAAGGTGGCTCACTGGCTAAGACGTTGGAGTTGTCGATCAGAAAGGCCACAGTTCTGTGGTTTGAATCCCCAGTATAGGTCTCCTGCGTTGAGCAGGGGGTTGGACTAGATGACTTCCAAGGTCCCTTCCAACTCTGTTAATCAGGTTGTGCCTTCTCTCCTTTAAAAACTTCCAGAATTTTGAAGACGGGCCATGAACAATGGTGGAGTGACTCCCAAAGCAGTAATTCTCAACCTTGAGAACTTCAAATCCCAGAGTTCCCCAAGCACTGAAATCTATAGAGATCTCTCCCAACTTTCAAGCGTTTGTTTAGTCACCTTAGAACTTACAACGGCACTGAAAAAGGTGACTTATGACTGCTTTTCACACTTACGACCATTGTAGCATCCAATTCAAAATTCAGATGCCTGTCCCAGGGTCGTGTGATCAGACCGTTGTTTGGAAAGACAGATGCTGAAGCTCAAATATTTTGGCCACCAAATGAGAAGAGGACTCCATGGAAAAGACCCTCATGTTGGGAAAGAGGGAAGGCAGAAGAAGGGGACGGAGAGGATGAGATGTTTCAGATGGTGGTCATCGACGCAATGAACATGAATTTGGGCAAACTCAGAGACAGTGGAGGACAGTGGGGCTGGGAGGAGGGGGGCTGGAGTGCTGTGGTCCATGGGGTTGCGAAGAATCAGACTGAACAACTCCGTGCATTGTATACATTTTCTAATCCATTGTAATTTAAATAAACTATTAGAAACTCAAGCAAGAGATCCTATACCCGGGATGGCGAACCTATGGCACGCATGCCACAGGTGGCACACAGAGCCATTTGTCAGGGCACGCGAGGCATTGCCCTGTCAGCTGGCCAGCGCACATGCGCACACTGGCCAGCTGAGTTAAGCCTTTGTTGAAGCCATTACTCGCCCTCCCCAGACTCCAGAGGCTTTATAGTAGCCTGGGGAGAGCGAAAAGAGCCTCCCCGCACCTCCGGAGGCCTTCAGGAGCTTCCCTGGAGCCTCCGGAGCACAAAAATCCGGCCCTATGGGCAAACTGGAAATTCGGGAACAGACTTCCGGTTTGCTCGTAGGGCCGGTTTAAGCCCTCCGGAGGCTTCAGGAACCTTCAGGAGTCTTCCCTGAAGCCTCCGGAGGACTAAAGATGACCCTTCTAGCAAACCGGAAGTCACTTCCGGTTTGCTCGTAGGGCCGGTTTAAGCCCTCCGGAGGCTTCAGGAACCTTCAGGAGTCTTCCCTGAAGCCTCCGGAGGACTAAAGATGACCCTTCTAGCAAACCGGAAGTCACTTCCGGGTTGCTCGTAGGGTCGATTTTTGCCCTCCGGAGGCTTCAGGGAAGATGGCCAAAGGTTGCTGAAGCCTCCAGGGGGCAGGAGAGGCTGTTTTCGCCCTCCCCGGGGTCCTATAAAGCCTCTGGTGCCTGGGGAGGGCAAAAAAAGCATGCAAAA